AAACAGTCCAGTGGAGCCTGAGCGGTGAGTGTTGCCTTCTGACACACTTCTGGTGATGTCAGGGGGTGTGGCATATGCAAATAAGTTATGCTAATGGGTTATGCTAATAAGCTCCTGTACCTCTTTTTCTCTATCCCCAATAGCTAGCAATCCGAAACAGTCCAGTGGAGCCTGAGCGGTGAGTGTTGCCTTCTGACACACTTCTGGTGATGTCAGGGGGTGTGGCATATGCAAATAAGTTATGCTAATGGGTTATGCTAATAAGCTCCTGTACCTCTTTTTCTCTACGAAATGACCCCTGGGCGTAACTACGGCTGGTTCTGCATCTGGCATTCGCTCCACCGCCTTGCTTAATCCTGGCTTCTTCTCTGGGGCCGATTCTGCATCTGACATTCACTCCACGTTTTCTCAACGCCGAGGGAAAGGTGCAGCTCAAAACCACGTTCAAATACCCCGGGACAACACTGTACTGACTGCGAAATCACCCCTGAGCAGCCATAAATCTATGCAGAAGGTACCATAAAAAAGCCCAATGATCAAAGGAAGTGAAAGCGGCATGCAGTGTAGAGGGGAATTTCTGTTCCAATGTGGGTTTGCTAAAACAATGGAGGGAAAAGCCAATGCAGAATCACCCGATGTATGGATTACAAGACTCCCCTACCCAGGTTTCTGCCTTGGTCTCCATGATGGTTTCTGCTAGCCCAGTGGAATTGATTTTTAAAAAAAATAAACCCCAAAACACTCTTGACTCCCATGTCATATCATGAGCTACCGCTGAAACAGGGAATTTGCTGTCTGGGGGGACAGGAGTAAGACTTCTTTAGGATCATGAAACTAATTCCATGATTTATGGACTCCTGACTAGTATTAGATAGATAGATTGATAGCCAAGACAGACTCATAGACATTTCATATAGATTTCAACCCACTTGTGTTGCTTTAATCAGCTTACCTTTTAATAAGGCTCCTATTTCCTCTCGTTCAGAGGTCACCATTTCTTAAAGCAAATCCCAACAGTAATATATGGAAAACAAAACAATTGCCCACAGACTGGAAATGCTCAGTCTAATTTCCAATTCTGAAAAGAGGAGATGTCAAAGACTGTAGCAACTATCAGACCATCGCATTAATTTCTCACAGGAGTAAAGTAATGCTCAAAATCTTACAACACAAACTGAATTCAGAAAAGGAAGAGGCACTAGAGATCATATTGCAAATTTACAATGGTTACTGGAGCATATGAGATAATTTCAGAAGAAAAATTAGCTTGTGTTTCATAGATTACATCAAAGCTTTTGAGCATGGAGCATGGGAAGCTATGGTTGGTTTTAAAAGAAATGGATGTGCCACAGAATTTGATTGTTTTGATGTGTAACCTGTACTCTGGACAAGAGGCTACTGTTAGGATAGAGTATAAAGAAACACAATGGTTTCCAGTGGGTAAAGGTGTTGGGCAAGGATGTATCTTATGTCCCTGTCTCTTCAATCTGTATGCAGTACATATCATAAGAAAACCTAGATTGAGTTAAGGTGGAGTGAACATTGGTGGAAGGAACATTAACCATTTGAGGTATGCAAATGACACCACATTACTGGCAGAAAACAGTGAAACTTTGAAATGACTACTGATGAAGGTTAAGGCAGAAAGTGGACCAGTGCTCAGCGGAACACTGAGAAGACAAAAGTAATGGCTTCCAATGAAAACGGAAATTGTTCAAGATTTTCTATTCCTCGGCTCCATCATGAACCAAAAGGGAGACTGCAGCCAAGAAATCAGAAGGAGGCTGAGGCTGGGAAGGGCCGCCATGAAGGAGCTAGAAAAGATCCTTAAGTGAAAGGATGTGTCACTGGTGACCAAGATCAAGATAATTCATACAATAGTATTCCCCATTACTATGTATGGGTATGAAAGTTGGACCACGAAGAAAGCAGACAGGAAGCAAGTTGATTCATTTGAAACTCTCCTCCGTCACCATGAGTTTTACAGGTACTGTGGACCACCAAAAAGACAAGAAGTCAATTCTAGATCAAATCAAGCCTTCCTAAAATGACTATACTGAGGCTCTCATACTCTGGTCACATTATGAGAAGACGGGAGTCACTGTAAAAGATAATCATGCTAGGCTAAGTTGAAGGTGGCAGGAAAAGAAGATGAGCCCCAAATGATTCTTGAAAGTGTAAAAAAATGCCAGTTTTTTTTCCTATGTGGTAGACGTGCGATAGAGTTAAAAAATATTGGTCTTGGATTCATGAATTGTAAAAAAAAATGCTAAAATGTAATATACCTTATGTTCCAGAGCTGTTTTTATTGAATATATTGCCAGAAGATTGTGAAAAGCAAGACTCTTATCTTATTATACATGTAGTGACAGCTGCAAGATGCTACAGGAAAAATGAGGTACCTTCAAAAGAAGAAATTATGAATAAAACACTTGAAACGGCAGAAATGGACAAACTAACTTAAGTGGTACCTATTTATCTACTTGCAATTTCTTGCTTTCGAACTGCTAGGTTGGCAGGAGCTGGAACTAGAGACGGGAGCTCACTCCGTCATGCGGCAACCCGGGTCTCGAACTGCTGAACTACTGACCTTCCACAGCCTGCAGTTCAGCGTCTTAACCACTTGAGCCACCGCAGCTCCGACGGCACTAAACATGCACACAAATGATGTTGCTCATGATGCCACTCCCCCCAATGAGAGTGTCCATGGGTAATTTCATCCGCTGTTTTGTGGGTATCTTACCTGCGAGAGCTGCTAGAATGGCAAATGACTTCAACATGGTTGCCAGAGTGTCCGTAGGTCTGGAGAGAAAGCTGCACACAGAGGCTGTTGTATGGAAAGGGAGCTCTCAACTGAGTTACTTAATTTTTTTTTTTAAAGCAACCATGCTCTTAGTATTGCTTATCGGCAGCACACCAGCGAGTCAACACCATTTATCAGGGACGGTGAGGCAGTTCTCAGGGCAGCTGCGTTAATTTGCTTCGCTGAAATCATTTCATGGGATGTGTATCGTTGAAACACTTATTAGTAATGGCTTGGATCCAACCACACAGTTTCAAGGACTGAAGGGCACGTCCATCTTTGGAAGGGAGAGGGGCAGTTCCCGCTAATTCTCCCCTTCTACTGTGGACCGCCCACTTTGCCCCAGAGGCTGTTCTTGAGGGTCTGCCGACCTCCCCCAAGAATGAAACTTCAAGGGACTCACTAGCTGCATCAGGAGGGAGAGGCAGGAATTTCCCACGCTGCAAGGTCTTCTCCGTGAGCAGATCTCACTGCATGCAAGTCAAGAAACTTAATTATTCTGTAATGTATCTATATATCTAATAGCCAAGAGGAGCTGGAACTAGAGACGGGAGCTCACTCCGTCATGCGGCAACCCGGGTCTCGAACTGCTGAACTACTGACCTTCCACAGCCTGCAGTTCAGCGTCTTAACCACTTGAGCCACCGCAGCTCCGACGGCACTAAACATGCACACAAATGATGTTGCTCATGATGCCACTCCCCCCAATGAGAGTGTCCATGGGTAATTTCATCCGCTGTTTTGTGGGTGTCTTACCTGCGAGAGCTGCTAGAATGGCAAATGACTTCAACATGGTTGCCAGAGTGTTCGTAGGTCTGGAAAGAAAGCTGCACACAGAGGCTCTCAACTGAGTTACTTAATTTTTTTTTTAAAGCAACCATGATCTTAGTATTGCTTATCGGCAGCACATCAGCGAGTCAACACCATTTATCAGGGACTGTGAGGCAGTTCTCAGGGCAGCTGCGTTAATTTGCTCCGCTGAAATCATTTCATGGGATGTGTATCGTTGAAATACTTATTAGTAATGGCTTGGATCCAGCCACACAGTTTCAAGGACTGAAGGGCACGCCCATCTTTGGAAGGGAGAGTGGCAGTTTCCGCTAATTCTCCCCTTCTACTGTGGACCGCCCACTTTGCCCCAGAGGCTGTTCTTGAGGGTCTGCAGCCCCCCCCCCCCAAGAATGAAACTTCAAGGGACTCACTAGTTGCATCAGGAGGGAGAGGCAGGAATTTCCCACGCTGCAAGGTCTTCTCCGTGAGCAGATCTCACTGCATGCAAGTCAAGAAACTTAATAATTCTGTAATGTATATAGAATAATTCTGTAATGTCCCCAACTTTTTTGAGCCTGTGGTCACGTTTGGAATTCTGACATTTGTATATAAATGACATAACGGAATTTCTGTCAGGCCCACAATTTTTTCCACCCTCCCTGGGACAACAGAAAATTTCAATTCTTTTATACGCAGATAATATGGTCCTAATCTCACTGACCAAAATAGGTTTGAGAAGACTTTTACACCAGCTAGGGCAATACTGCAACGAAGAAGCTCTCAATATTAATTATGCAAAAAACAAAGTAATGGTTTTCAGAAGAAAGCCCAAAATTTCTCATTGGAGTACTCTTGGTAATCCAGTTGATCAATGCAGTTCATTTAAATATCTAGGAGTAGCTTTTAAAGAAACACTGAATTGGAAAACCCATGTGGTAGGGGTTAAATTGTCAGCACTAAGGATTGTTGGGTCTATTATACACTTCTTCTGTACTTAAAATGAAAAAAGCTGACAAAGCAAGTCTTGATGACTACTTCCATGTCAGTTCTTGGGCAGGCAGGGGTCATTTTGGGGGGGACGTGGGGGGACGCCATCCCCCCGGGTGAGGTGCGGGAGGGCGGGGCCTGGAGCTCCCTGCTGGTGCCCGCTGGAGGTCGCCGCCGGCTGTGGGGAGGACACACTTCCGGTGATGTCAGGGGGTGTGGCATATGCTAATGAGTTATGCTAATGAGTCCCCCTAGCTCTTTTTCTACGAAATGACCCCTGGCCCCACTTATTATATGGAGTGGAAGTGTGGGGATGGAAAGAGGATAATATATCTACCCTTGAAGTAATCCAAAAAAAGTGCGAGAAAGTGGGAGAGAGAACCTTTCTTTCTCCCTTATGTAATACTGAACTGGAGAACACCCAACGAAGTTGATGGGTTCTCCATTCACCAAGGAAGTACGTCTTCACACAGAGCACAATGAACCTGTGAAATACTTAGATTTATAAGGGATTTGAGAAATTCGTGGAGGATACATCTGTGGTTATTAGGGTAAACAAGTGGGGGGCATGCAAAACTTATGTGCGGGGGGGGGAATCCCATTAGTGCCATCTGGCACAACTCCCTTGGAGCCCAGCCACAACAGCGCTGGTGTCTGGAAGCTGCTCGAAGCCCAGAGTGGTTCCTGGCAACTGTTGCTTGTGCCACCTGGCCTGGAACGGCTCCCGGGCTCTACTGCCACCACAGCTGGGCCTGCCGGCAGCGTCACAACTGTACCCCTCTCCAGTTGCTCGATGGTAAGTGTATTGTCTGCACATGCGCAGCAGACAATGCCTTTTGTTTTGGGGGGAGGATTTAAACCCCCAAATATATTTTTTAAACTTTTCAGATTTTTCTGCAAACCTCAAGTTTGCAGAAAAACCTCTTTGGAGTGTGCTCCCCCCCCCCATCTGTGCATTTAGGTATCCCCAGATAGAGGGCATGCTTGGGAAATAGTCTTTAGATTACCATGTCGGATTACACAGGGAAACCATTGAAATTCATAAACATAAACACAATTTCAACAGGAAGGGAGTTTAAAAATAAATAGGGCATGGTTTCCTGTCCTGAAAAACACAAAATGCTCTACATCTCACAACAGCACCACAGATAAGATTATGCAAAACAACCTCCTCCATTAGCATGTTCACAACCCTACCCCACCTTCCTGAGTAGATGTAAATTACCTGCCTACCATTTTTCTTCTCACCTTAACACAGAGAGTCCTCCATCTTTCTGTGTTATACCTCTGAGGATGCCAGTCACAGCTGCTGGCGAAACGTCAGGTACTACAATGCCAAGACCACGACCATACAGCCTGGAAAATCTACAACAACTAAAGGGAACCTTTGTTTTCAGAGGTGGTTAAATCTGAAAGACAGTTTCCAGGGGACACAGGGAGTTTAGCCCAGTATGTAGATCAACTAGGACATCTGATTGGACCTTATAGGAAACAGGATGCTGGTCTAGATGGATCTCTCTTTTTTGTCTGTCTGTTTTCCCCCATCAAAGCAATGGGGGTGGGCATTGTCAGCTGAGGAAATAGTGCAGGAGAAGATTTCACCCCCGTTCCTCAGCAAAAAAAAACCCAACACCGGTCACCCACTGGTGTCTATGGATACATGTTTGTGTACATGTATCTCCCACCAGTGTATCACCTACCAATGTCTATGGACGCATTTTGAAGCTGAAGTACACAGCTATGTATCTGACCATGGTCACCAGTGTAACATGTGGTCGAGACCTTAAATGGGTGTATTGTGTAGTGGGTTCACCGCATGGCTAGCAATGGGGGGGGGGCATTGTCAGCTGAGGAAATAGTGCAGGAGAAGATTTCACCCCCGTTCCTCAGCAAAAAAAAAACACACTGGTCACCCACTGGTGTCTATGGATACGTGTTTGTGGACATGTATCTCCCACCAGTGTATCGCCTACCAATGTCTATGCAAGCTCTGGGTAGTCGCTGGCCCCTGGTGGCGGTCAGAGGACACAACAGGGTGGGAGGAGACATCAAGGTTTTCAGACTGTCGGAACCAGTGTTCCCTCTAAGCTGAGTTAATGTGAGCTAGCTCACAGTTCTTTAGCCTCTGGCTCACACATTTTTGTTTTAGCTCAGGAAGGAGGGCTCCAGAGCAAACTAATGTATGCAGTAGCCAGATTGCTCACTCACAACTTTAATGCCAGTTGCTCCCAGAGTAAAATTTTTGCTCACGAGACTTGACAGCATAGAGGGACCGTTGGTCGGAACTGTGCAAGCACAAATGATGGAATATGGGAATTCTCACAGGACCCTACATTTGTCATATGAACCCAGGGAGCTGGCTTGTACTGAATCAGACCATTGGTCCATCAAGGTAGGTCAGTATTGCCTACTCCAACTAGCAGCTTCACAATGGAGATGCCAGGGATTGAACCTGGGACCTTCTGCGTGTAAAGCAAAGGCTCTTCCCCTGAGCCAGAGCCTGTTTATGTCGCTACTGGAATATTTGGTTCATCAACACTGTCTCAGTCTTTTCTGTGTTTCTTAAAGAAACAAAAACGTTATTATCTGACAGGGACTTTCCACTTTCTAACTCCCACTTTCTTCCCAGCAACTAGTACTAGAGCTTAACAATGAACATTAATTGGCAGCTGTGGTACACATGAGAATGCATGTCGCAGGTGGCAGGGAAACCCTTATCTCCAGATAGGATGGAAAACAGAACTGCCTGGTACTAGGAGCGGCTTGTTAATCGACGGTGTGAGTCAATGCTAAATAAATGGAAACTCCCAATGCTAAACCGTCTATTTTTATACTCTGGCTAAATACAATTCCATAAGAAAACAAAAACCATCAACGTGCCCCTCAAGGTAGTGGACTGTTTGGAAGGGAAAGGAGTTTGTAAGCCGCTCTGAGACTCCCTTCTTGGGTAGTGAAGGGTGGGGTATAAATCCCTCCTACTTCTCCTCCTCCTCCTCCTCTTCTTCTTCTACTGTGTCAGACTCAGGCTATGGGAAAAGATACCTAGCAAAATGGTTTTTGTTTTGTTTTGAGGGAATCATAAGAGTATGCATGATGTGCTATACCTGAAAGATGAATTGAAAATGAACTTGAAAACTTTGAAAATATACAGTGCCCATAACAATGTAGGAAGCTTATACAAGAGAAGCAGAAAGAAACATTATATAAATGTATATCACC